CAGCAGTTGCGGCTGCAGCAAATACGACGCATGCAGAAGCATGTTGAGGAGAGGCATCAGCAGCTAAGGGAGGAGCTAAGGCAGCCACAGAATCAGCGCCACCGCTTGCTGCAGCAGCAGCAGCAGCTACTGCTGCAGCAGCAGCAACAACAGCTGCAACAGCAGCACCAACAGCTCAAACAACAGCAGCAACAGCTACTGCAGCAGCAGCAGCAACAGCAGCAGCAGCAGCACTTAGGAATCCCTGTTGGGGCTTCGGCCTCCCTTCCCGAAATAGGATTAGTACACACGCGCCAGCAGCAACTGCTGCTGCAGCAGCAGCTAGAGCAGCAGCAGCTACTGCAGCAGCAGCAACAGCAGCAACTAGAGCAGCAGCAGCAGCTGCTAGAGCAGCAGCAGCTGAAGCATATAAGAGGGCCTGCAGCAACTCCACAAGATCTATCAAGGACGCAGAACGTCCTGACAGTTGACCAGCAAAAGCAGCAGCAACAGCAGCAACAGCAGCAACTGCAACAACAGCAGCAGCAGCAACCGCAGCAGCAGCAGCAGCAGTTGCAAGCGCAGCAACAGCAGCACCAGCCAATCCTACGGCGCCCAGGTACCAGATACCTTGGACCTGGGAGCGCAGCAGCAACCGCAGCAACAGCAGCAGCAACAGCAGCAACAACAACAGCAGCAGCAGCAGCAGGGGTTGCTAATCCATCCCACGCTGCAGCACCTGCACGTGGAGCAGTAGCAGCACCAGCAGCATCAGCAGCACCAACAGCACAACCAGCAACACCAACAGCAGCATCAACAACAACACCAACAACAGCAGCAGCAGCAACAACAACAACAGCAGCAGCAGCAACAGCAGCAGCAGCAGCAGCAAGCGGCCATACTGCAGGCCGCAGCGGTTGGCTGCCGCAGGAGTTGCCTAGGAAGCAGCACAGCCGTCAGCATAGTCTTACACGTTCTGATTCCCATAAGAAACTGCAGCAGCAGCAGCAGCAGCAGCAGCAGCAGCAACAGCAGCAGCAGCAACAACGAACATTTCAGAGTGAGCATCAATCAGCGGGAGTGCAGCAGCAGCGGCTGCAGCAGCAGCAACAAAAGTTGCGGCAGCAGCAGCAGCAGCAGAAGCGCTTAAATAGTGAATCAGAACTGCAGCAGCAGCAGCAGCAGCAGCTGCAGCAGCTGCAGCGGCAGCCATCGCTCCGAGCAGAACGGCGGGAACTGTCTCGGCATCGTCAGCAGCAGCAACAGCAGCAACAGCAACAGCAACAGCAGCAGCAGCAGCAAAAACAAGACAAAGACGTTGCCTCTCTTCAGGAGGCGCCTAAGCAGCCGGTGAAGCAGCAGCAGGTGCAGCAGCAGCAGGTGCAGCAGCAGCAGGTACAACAGCAGCAGGTACAACAGCAGCAGGTGCAGCAGCAGCAGGTGCAGCAGCAGCAAGAGCAGCAGCAACCTCAACAGCAGCAACAGCAGGTAGAGCAACAACAACCACAACAGCAGATGGATCCACTGCAAAGACAACAGCAGCTGCAGCAGCAGCAGCAAGAGCACCAGCAGCAGCAGCAGCAGCAGCAGCAAGAAGCTGCTCCCTCGCCACCCTCTCGCCTCTGCAGAGATGATATTCCTATTAAGGCAACAGCAGCACAAGAATTTTTTCAGCGTCTGCTGCAGGAGGATGCTATGCTGCAGCAACAGCAGCAGCAGCAGCAGGGGGGCATGCAGCAGCAGCAGCAGCAGCACCCGCAGCCCAGACTGCAGCACCCCAAAGCAGCAGATTCTTCTGGATCCCGCAGGTCAATGTCTGTTAGTCGCCCTGCAGCAGCAGCAGGAGCAGCAGCAGCAGGTGGTACCATGCAGCAGCAGCAGCGAATGCAGCAGCAGCAGCAGCAGCAGCAGCAGAAGCCACCTCTTAGTAGACTTGGTTCCTGCGGCAGCACCAGCGGCAGCACAAGCTACCTACCTACTGACGATCTAGAGGTTAGGGTTTAGGGTTTAGGGTTTAGGGTTGTTGCTGTTGCTGCTGTTGCTGCTGCTGTTGGTGTTGCTGTTGTTGCTGCTGTTGGTGTAGCTGTTGCTGCTGCTGCTGCTGTTTTCCTCTCGCCTGTTGTTTTTGCTCCTATCCCTCCTCCTCCTCCTCCTATTACTACTGCTGCTGTTACTACTATTGCTGCTGCTGCTGCTTCTGCTGCTGCTGCTGCTGCAGGACTTTGATACTCCCCCTAGTTACCGTTACGTATCTGAGGTGCTGCTGCAGCAGCTGCAGCAGGAGAGCAGCAAAGCAGATTGGCGGCAGCAAACGCATGCACTTCTTAATCTAAGAAGAATCGCTAAATTTCATACACAACTACTGACACCGGGTACACCTGCTGCTGCTGCTGCTGCTGCTGCTGCTGTTGTTGCTGTTGTTGTTGTTGCTGCTGCTGCTGCTAAAGCTATATGCTGCTGCTGCTGCTGCTGCTGCTGCTGTATATAGTTAGACACTTAATACCCATTACGTCCTATTATTTACTATTAGTTGCTCCTACTACTTGCTGCTGCTGCTACTCCTACTACTTGCTACTCCTACAACTTGCTGCTGCTGCTTCTGCTGCTGCTGCTGCTGCTGTTGCTGCTGCTGCTGCTGCTGCAGAATTAGTTCGTCGTGTATGTAGTGCAGTATTAATTTTATTGAATTCCCCGCGGAGTTCTTTGGCTAAGAATGCCGCCATTACTCTTAATGATTTATTCTTATTCGCTAATAATAAAATAGTAAGTAAATAATAACTTATTATCTACCTACCTAGCTAGCTGGATAAATGAATGGATTGGTAGATGGGTAACTGGGTGGGTAGCTAGCTAGCTAGCTAGCTAGCTAGCTAACTGGGTAGATAGCTGGGTAGGTAGCTGGGTAGCTAGATAGCTAGCTGGGGATGTATTATTGTGCTGCTGCTGCTGCTGCTGCTGCTGTTTTGCTGCTGCTGCTGTGTTGCTGCTGCCTCGTTCTTTAGGATTCCGCTGTCCCGGAGGTTGTTGATGTCTGCCTTAAAAAGGTAGGAGCTGCTGCTGTTGCTGCTGCTGCTGCTGCTGCTGCTGCTGCTGCTGCTGCTGTTGCTGATACTTTTGGTGGTGCTGCTGCTGCATGTTGCTGCTATTGCTTCTGCTCCATGCTGCTACTGCTTCTGCTGCTGGAAGTTGTTGTTGCTGCTGCATGCATGCATATTGCTACTGCTGCTACATGAATGTTGCTGGTACTGCTGCCTTCTGCATGCGTGCTGCTACTGTTGCTACTGCTACTGCTACTGCTGCTGCTGCTGCTGCTGCTGCTGCTGCTGCTGCAGAGTTGTCAATCTGTGGAGTTTTTAGCTGAATCAGCTCGTGCTGTTCTTCATTCTCTTTGTTTATCCGCAAATGAACAAAAAGTCTTCCCTTCTTTCCTTAATTCTACACATAATGCGTAAGTACATGCAGCAGCAGCAGCAGCAGCACCAGCAGCAGCAGCAGCAGCAGCAGCAGCAGCAAGTGTAGCAGCGAGTGTAGCAGCAGGAGAAGCAGCAGCAGAAAGGAGCAGCACTAGTAGAAGAAAAGTAGCTATAACTCCATCAACAACAGCAGCAGCAACAGCCGCAGCAACAATTGCTGCTGCAGCAACAAAAGCAGCAGCAGCTGCTGTTGCTCTTGCTGCTGCTGCTGCATGTATTAGCTGCTAGCAGCTGTTGCTACTTGGTAGTGCGTGTGTCTCCATTGTTGCTGTATGCTGTTCTCCATGTTGCTGCTTCTACTGCTGCTGCTGCTGCTGCTGCTGCTGTTGCTGCTGCTGCTGCTGCTGCTGCTGCTGCTGCAGGAAGCACCAGGGAGCCCGTTGTGTAGGTGTTAGCTGTTTAGCCTTTTTAATTAATAAATATAAAAAAAGGCCAATTGAATTTCCTTCTCTAATTGAGCTGCTGCTGCAGGTATCCTCTTGCTGCTGCTGCTGCTGCTGCTGCTGCTGCTGCCGTTGCTGTTGCTGCTCCTGCGGTTGCTGCTGCTGTTGATGCTGTTTTTGCTCCTGTTGCTGTTGTTTCTGAGCTGTTGCGGCACCCATTAGGGTTTAGGGTTTAGGGTTTAGGGTTTGTGGTTAATTGCTGCAGACAGCAGGAGAAGCGTCTCCTGATTTACGTGCGGCATCTCGTGCTGCTCTCGCCTTGCTGTTTGAGTAAGGGTTTAGGGTTTAGGGTTTAGGGTTTACACATTAGGGTTTAGGGTTTGTATATTAGGGTTTATTCTTTAGGGTTTAGGGCTTAGGGCTTAACACTTTAGGGTTTACAATTCCTTTAGGGTTTAGGGTTTATACACTTCCTTAGGGTTTAGGGTTTACACACTTCCTTTAGGGTTTAGGGTTTAGGGTTTAGGGTTTAGGGTTTAGGGTTTATGTGTAGAGTTGTTCCTTCTTCGGATTGGCGAGCTGGAGGAATTTCTGCTGAACAAATCAAAGCTGTACGTCTTTATTTATTTATTTATTTATTTATTTATATATTTATTTATTTATTTATTATTTATTTATTTTATTTATTAGTTGCAGCTTGCATGGATGTTGCTGCTGTTTGCATGCGTTTGCTGCTGTTGTTTTGCATTTTCTGCTGCTGTGCTGCATTTGCTGTTGTATGCATGCATTTGCTGCAATTTGCATGCATTTGCTGCTGCTGCTGCTGCTAGCGTACATTTTGCTGCTATGTGCATGCATCTTGCTGCTGCTGCTGCTAGGGTATATTTTGCTGCTAATTGCATGCATTTTGCTGCTATTTGCATGCATTATAGGCGCAGCAAATATCCTCAAGAACAACAAGAGGAGAAATTGCTGCTGTCTTAGAGACTGTCTCCTCTGCAGTAATTAACCCTAAAGGTAAATAAATAAATAAATATATTTATTTATTTATTTATTTATTTATATTTAATTAATTAATTAGTTAATTAATTAATTAATTATATTTATATAATATAATTATTATATTCTTTTTATTTTTTTTCTTTTTTTTTTTTTTTTTTTTTTA